TTGATAAATTTTTTTTATATAACTATATTAAATAATTTTAAGTTAAATTAGAAGTCTGTGTGTAATGATTTCTCAAAGACAAAAAAAAATAATAGGAACTTAGCATAGACACAAACCTATGTAATCTGTTTTATCGATACATTTTTGTAATAGTGTCAAGGAAAAGAACATAGATGACGTCATACGTAAAATTTTTCCGTTGAAACAACGACCAGATTAATTTACAATTTACATCCAATATCCAACAACTCTCCGATTACAGATTACATCAAGTTACGTCGAAAACGCCGGCGTGGTCGCTCTTGGGCCTCAGCTAACACTGACATCTGAATATATCCAATCGGCAGAAGAGTTGCTAGTACATGCACATATCTTTACAACGAGAACTTGAAGAGGATTTTTCGAAATTACTCGCAAATGGTTCGCGCGCAAGTCGGTCGATATCTATCGTGCTCCAATAAAAAAAACCGTTAAGCCCATATCAGACTATGCATTTAGATTGAAATTTGACCAATCAAGACAAGGAAATTTTAGTTCCTTTTATCCTGATTGGTCAAATTTCAATTTTCAATGCGTAGTCTGATACGGGCATTAGAGTACATGTGATAACAAGAAGAGATATCGTCTCGGAGATCGAAATTAGTCTTTATTACGATATATGCTGCAAATTTGTTGAACCTCGACTCAATTGGATTCGTCGACCGTACATTTAACGAAACTATTGCTAATAACATATGCTAATTCGAGATGACAATGCAAAACTTTATGGAAATAGTTCATTCTCTTCATTGAAATTTCATTGCAGTTGATAATGAAAAGCGACGATTAAGTTGCAAATACGTCGAGGAAACATGTGCAGATGTTACGGACTACTATTGGGTGGATGACAGGTTCTTCAAGGATGGATCCCAGCAAGAAATCAGAGACGGTTAATAGCAGTCAGAGCACAGTCGCACAATCTGAAGGCTCGGATTCTATAGAGGTACATATTAAGTATTACAAGAAATCTAAGCTCTACCATTATATGCAATCTTTATTAACTCATTGATTACAGGTAGACAATTCGCGTACAGTTTTGTTAAAAATAGCAACGCTGTATGCGGAACGTCTTATGAACGACATCTGTCTTGTTGTGGATGGTGTGGAATATCCAGCACACCGACTTATACTCTGTGCTTCTAGCGATGTTTTCCAAGTAAGTGCAAAGAAATAAATATATATATATATATATATATATATATATATTTAAGATTTGGTACAGAATGATGCTCTTAATATTAACTGGTATTCAGGTGATGTTGATGAGTCCACAATGGAGTGAGTCTCAAGAAAGCAGGGTAACCCTTCAAGAAACGCCTCAGTGCGCGCCAATATTCAGTGAATTTTTGCGCTACTTTTACACTGGTCAAATAAGAATAAACTATGGAGTTGTTCTACCTATATTATCTCTAGCCGATAAGTACAATGTCAAAGATTTGATATTGTTGTGCCTTGACTACATGCGAAATCATATTGCGCTTGCTGCCATACATGGCACTCTGGTATCGTGGCTGCAATACACATTGAACTGTGGTCATCACGACATTAGCCAAGCGTGCCAAAACTTCATCAAGTGGAACTTGGGGCTTGTGGCCAAAACCGCGGACTTTGGGAATTTCGATTTAGATATCCTAGTATCGTTGTTGCACCAAAGCAGTTTAGTCATAAAGGATGAGATGACGCTCTACAAGTGCCTAGAATTTTGGTTGGATCATCAGGCAGATCGATTGAGAGCGCAGTTGTCGCCGGAGGAATTAGAGGCGACGTTGCATCAACTGGTGATAGCAGTTATGTCACCCGTTAGATTCCCGATGATGTCCCCGCGACAATTAGCCGACCTACTACTGTCGCCGTTGACAAAAAAATATAAGGAATTTTTCGTAGAACGTATGTCAATCGGCATGTCCTTCCATTCGGGTCAAACGGACAGAGTGAGAGAAGTGAGTCTTAGTGAGGAGGACGGCGCTTTGCTGTTCGAACCGAGATTGTACACCGTCGATACGTGCAGCTCGTTACTGACCATAGAAAACTTTCACGGTCTGCCATCATATCACACGAGGACACTTGTGTTTTCCAGTCACTCCAATTTAGCGGAATACGCCGGCGACAAAACTTGCGAGTGGGTGGTAGATATCTATCCTAAGGGTGTATGGTTCAAGAAATTTTTCCTCATAGTATGGCAAGGTACGGTAGAGATGCCCGAGCATGTGAAGCGATCGGTGAGATTGTCGTTAACGTGCAAAGAGCCACCGATGAACAGTCACATGCGCGTAAAGATCGGAGTTTTGATTTACGGTTTGCAAGATGGAGTTGAACATATCGCGAGAGTCACCGAAATCATTCACAGATTCAGTAGAAAGGATCGCGTTCTGAATCTGGACGATCTTCTGCCGTTCGAGGAACTCAATCCGCAACAGGGCTCGGTATCGGAAAACGTGGTGTCTCCTTTCTTAGTGGGTCCCAACAAAGACATGCTCAAATTACATATTGTTATATCGCCAGCCAATTAGCGTTTACGACGTCACATTACATGTATCAAAGTAGAAAATCACAGCGAGAAAAATGTTGTTTACATTCTATGTTTTTCCAAGAATGAAAGAGGATATTATGAATTTTATGTGTTTATATCATGCAACTACGTTTATTTTCTTTTTTCTGTTTCTTACGTGTAAATATTTTTCCAATATTTTTCCAAATACGGATATTGACGAAGTTAACATGTAGTACACACACATATAATTGCTTCTTCTCTATATATCATATATATTATTTTCGAAATTTTAAATATTGATCTTAAGGAAACGCTGATATAAAAAATAATATCTTAATGAGGTATATTACATTACGAATGTATTGTCAAATGTGCGATATACTTGAATAAAAAATTTTAGTAGCCCCTGCTGCCATACTGTTAATGTGATTCGTTACATATAAACTCCTCCTACGATTTTGTCTAATGTCTGTAAGATACGAATGTGTGTACTGTATATAGCTGAGATGCGAATATTATTTTAGTCACAAATTATGTGGTTATTGCGTGCACAAAATGCGATAACATGCAGAATGCGAGCGCACTTTATGAACACAGATACATATGTTAATATAGACTTGTGTATATTAGTTCTAACTCGCAAACCGATATTACATTTTTTCTAACGAGGTCGCCAATAAAATGTGTATGTAAAAATTATGAGCAGTAATTTTTCTAGAGACAAGGGATATCACTTATTTCACCTGAGATAAGAAAAATATTTCTTGTCTCTGATATGTACAGAACTTACGGAGGTTCCGTATCTTGTTAAAGAGAGGAAGGGTAAGAGAATTTCCTAAAATGTAAGTGCGTCTAGCTTTAGATGCAACTTTAAATGCCGTTTTATTATTGTTATTATTTTTTTTATATTATTATCGCACTTTGAAGATACGGAATACGTTTGCAAGTTTTATAAAATTTCTTATATAATATATATTTTATTATATTTATTTTCTTCTTACTACCTAACCACCGATATTACGTGTTCCTGTGTTGAGGATTTAGTTTCTTAACTTATCAATTAATATTGTACCCGGAGCGAGACTAAGATCTGAGATTAAATAAACATGTAATCTTTATTCTTAAATGCGTTATATATAGCAGTCTTAATTTTCAAAATCCCACACACACATAAGCATATAATATCATTTTTTTATAACGATATGCTTATTTACCTTATTAAAATGTGATTCGAATTATTAAGTCTAATATTAAAGATAAATTGTTTTTTTGAAAATGTTTATAAACGCAAAAATAAATAACGAATACAATCTCAATATGACAGTTGTGATGATAAAAGAGATTAAAATTTTATCGAGTGCTTGTGTGATAATACACATGCATACATTACTACAGTAGGATTTGTGAAATAGGTCACTTTATATATGTGTTATAATAGCCTTGAACAAGCAGTGAAAGGCAGACTTTGTGTTTTGTCAGTAGTATCTTTTACACTTCTCGGACGCAGCAGTCACGCATATCGTCTTGCTCTCTATTAAATAGTGTAAGGAACATTATTACTTAATTATTAAATAATATATGATTTGTTTATATTTATATAGTAACGTGTCAATGGATCTTGATCATTCGAGGATAGTGCATTTAGAAGCCTTAATCGTACTCTCTTTAATACAATTTTGAAGAAATCTTTTATAATATGCTGCAAATTAACATGTTGTGTTTTCATGAAAAGAAAGAGCAATTTCTGAATAAATTTTTATTTCTATAAATTTTTCTGGGCATTTTTGTTTCAGAATTACATTTTTTTAACATTGAATAACTTACTCGTAGTTTTTGTTAATTTATTCACTTTGTTAATATAGTTAATTTTGTATATTTGTATAACAGGATCTTTGTTCGGAATATTTGCATTTTCCAGATACAAAACATGAAATTATATTCCGTTTCGGACGGTCCGCCGTCTCTCGCGTGTCGTCAGCTGTTGAAGGCTTTGGATATCGAGTACGAGTTGATCGATGTGGATTATGGAAAAGGCGAACATATGACTAAAGAGTACGAAGAGGTATTTCTTAAAAAGAAAGAGAAAAAAGATCTCTCATATGAATAAATAACGCGTAGAAGAAACATTAAAACCGCATCGATTCTTCCAGCTAAATCCACAGAAGGAGATACCTACTCTAGTCGATCATGATCTTATAATGGGCGAAAGGTGAAAAGTGGTCCAAGATATTCGCTATCGATTCCAAAAATTGCGGAAAATTTTTCTTCCCGATATTAAACATCTAAGGAAAATATCCGTTATTTTTACGGTTGTTTCTCGCAAGCATAAATATTAGATTTAAGTAGATGCAATTCACGCTGTGAGAGATAAAATAATGAGAGACGCGTATATTATAAATTATTTATAGCGTTATCCGACTTTTGCATAATTCATTTTGTCTTGCAGCAACGCTATTTTACAATATTTAGCCGACCAGTATGATACGAGCGGTAAACTATATCCGAAGGATCTAAAATTGCGCGCGATTGTCAATCATCGTCTGTGCTTCAATTTGGCGCTTTATTACCGCAATATTTCCGAATACGTTGTAAGTGCGTAATGAATTGAATTTTCTCGTCATAAGAATGTTTATTCACAATTGCATTTCGCAGATGGCACCGATATTCTTCGATTATCAACGCACACCATTGGGTTTGAAGAAAACGAAGATGGCACTGGATATTTTCAACACGTATTTGCAACGCGAAAATTCCGCATATGCGGCAGGTAGTGAGTATATATACGTATTATAAAATTCTGTCGGTAAACTTCTTTTAAACGAACAATACAATCGGTGAGATTAAAACGTACACGCAAACTTGACAGCGCTATTAGACGACTATGACAATGCAGTAAAACAGCTAACAAAGCATTTACAGCTGCGTATAATTAGTATTCACGATAACAATGACACGGGATATTTGTGAAAATCGTAATCATAATAATTACATAAAGCGGCAAAGAGTTTTCATGATATATTTTTAATAACTTGAATTTGAAAAAAGACCCCGAGAAGCACATTCGCGATAAGAGTGGAAAATGCATGTGTATATTATTATTTTTTTTCTTATTTTTAATGTATTTACTATAGCGATAAAAATTAAATACGTATATTTCTCTTGTATTTATTTATATAGATAACTTAACGATCGCCGATTTTCCGCTGATAACAGCGACGATGTGTCTGGAGGCCATTGACTTCAAGTTGGACGCGTGGCCTTACGTGGCGAAATGGTACGAAAATTTCAAACGGGAGCACCCTGATCTTTGGGAAATCGCGGCGGGCGGAATGCGGGAGATCAGTTACTTCGAAAAACATCCGCCTGATTTATCCAGCATGGATCACCCGATACATCCGGTGCGCAAGAGCGCGTGAGGGAGTTTTCGCAGCAGAATATAAACAAATAATTAACACACATAGACATTTGTAGATTCGCAGTTTTTCTACATATGATATGAAGAAAATGATGACAATAAAATAAGTGATATTTTTACTGAGATTTATTATCGACATATATACATATATACGTCACATTCGCTCGCAATTCTCTTTCACGATACTTTGTATATCAACATTAAACTAGAATTTATATCGCAATACACTTTACGATAAGTGTTAGAATCACTGCGATTACAACCTTCGCGTCGTGGATTAATTGTTTC